CCCCAAAACCCCAAAACCCCAAAACCCCAAAACCCCAAGATATTCTAAATAATTGAACTTTTATAATCGTTCAGAATTTAAGAGACTTGTTCAAACCCGCTTAAATTTTAGAGTGAAATTAGAGATGTAAAGGAGTTTTCAAAACTCTGTATTTCTTATGGTCCTTCATCTGGGTGTACATTCCAGCATTTTCCTTGTTTTCCACATCTATATCATTAGTAATTAGTAGTTTTAATAGAATAAGGGTTCTCAGTTAATCTTACCATTTCTTGTTGGTGTAAAAGTTTCTGAGAGCCTTCCTTTGTTTGCATCATGGGATAAAATTAGCTCTTTAAGCTCAGAAAATCTCTCTTCAAGAATATATTTCTTGATAGTCTCGATAGTTTTTGACACCTTTTGTATCTCAAGAGATATCAGCTTACACATTTTGCTCTGATAGTCTCGCTCTTTTTGACCTTCTTCGTTGGGGTGTTTGTACAAGAGTTCATCAAAATTCACAGGCAAAGGTGTCTCCATCAGTCTTTGTGCATCTAGTTTTGATATTTTTTCGACTTCTTTTTCAAGAATTTCTACCTTGTCATCAACGTCCTCCATAACCTCACCTAAGGAATCTATATGTTTCATCTGATTCTCCATGATGTAATCTAAGAACAGAGACTCAGGGTTTTCCTTGTCTTTTGAAGGGATGAATTCAGACCCGTCTGGTATATCTTTACAGAAATTCGAAACATCAACTGGTGCTGATTTAAAAGAATGAGCATCCATGGAATGATCTTGATCGGCTCTAGAATTGAAGAGACTACAATTCTGGTCTAATGATTTCTTCTGGTACCTCTCTCTGACAGACTCTAAGAGTTCTTTCTCGTCCTCTTTTAACATTGAAATGTAAGACTTAATGTTGCCAAACACCACAAGACATTTATTTCATAGCATTCTTGGATGCAACCAGCATTAGCTTCAAATTCTCACTCTTATTGTCTGCTTCCTTCATCGACTGGTGAACTTGGTTCTTCTCCTTCTCCAATTCATCAATTTCGTTTACTTTGTGTACTAATTCTGTCTTGGTTTCAGCTCTGATTCTTTTATGGTAGTCAATTTCTTTTAGAAGTTCCGCAATTTTGTCATCTTTGCGCTTAATTTTTCTCTCATACTGTTCCTTCTGAAAAGATAGGTCTTTCTCAAGCATCTCTACCTTAGATACTAACTCAGAAGGTTCAAGGGTACTCAGATCTTTACTATGGCCTTGTAATGATCTCATGGAAATAGAACCGGGAGTTCTTTTACCAAAATCCATTTTTACTTAAATATATTCAATTTGAACAGTTCTTCCTGGGGTTTTGGGGTTTTGGGGTTTTGGGGTTTTGGGGTTTTGGGG